GCGTCTCTCTCTGATGAGTCATATAGTGCTTGGCTTTGACCAGAGGCTGCCAATGGCTGTGTGATTAAAGCAGGAACTCCAAACGGCCAATGAGAGACGACAACACTGAGACCTGGAGCGGAACATGTTTGGTTGTCGGGAACGCCTTGAGGGAAGTTCGGTCTGTATTTGTCACCATGTGACAGAGGTGGGCAGCCACTTCCCGTCAGTGGAAGTTCACCGTTAACGAGTCGTTTGGACGCAGTCGGGAGGAGGAACGAGACTAGAAGCACCTACACCTGGAGTCATCAGGAGGAGCATCCAGCGTGAAGCAGAACCTGCTCTCTTTCACTTCAGTTACCAGTTCGATTGGTTCTTTGTCAAAAATCAGTCAGAACATTTAAGGAGTTCTGTTGAACACCGCAGCCAGAACAGACAAAAAAAAAAAAAGAAAGAAAGGGGGGTAGGAAAACACCAGTCGATGACTGCCACCATGGCCCCGGCTGTTTCATTAACCAGAAACATAAACCTCAGCAGCTTCAAGCTTTCAGTTACTAAATTTAGGCAGAAGCCCAAACACATGACACACAACCAGGAGGTAATGAACATCTGCCCAGAAAGGTTCTAATGAGGACCACAACAGGACTGCAAGGTCACGGTTCTGCTGCGACACTGGACGAGCTCTCGCTGAACGGCAAATTACATCCATGCTTCTTTTTTTCTTTAAAAAGTTCACACGAACCCCTCCACGCCTTCCTCCCATCCCTACCCCTCCCTCCCCGACCCTACCCNCCCCCACCCTACCCCCCTCCCTTCCTGTGGAGCTACGATCCAAAAAAAGGACAAGTCATGTTTTACAATGGAGTCTCTCTGCACCAAAAACTGACCTTGTAGCTCGGGAGTTTGCAGCGTGTCACTGAGCGACACACTTCTCAGTCATTAAAAAAGAGAAAGTGCACAAACTGAAGGACTTATTTAGCCATGATATCCAAATTTAGCCTTTGGAGAAAGAGAGGAAAAGATCGAGGTGATTTCTACCCTGTTAAAGAGGAAAACAAACTTCAGGGAGCATCACAGAGATTAGAATCACGCAGAACTTCAGATGAACCACGACTGACCTCAGATGTGCTTTGCTGGGCACATGGTCGCAGGTGGCTCATGCTCTGTGGATGTGGGGCTTTTTATGATTCACCCAGGGAGGTCGCTGAGGAAACATCCCCACAAGCAGGTAAAGAGATTTCCTGTTCTTCTCTGAAACAGAGAGAAAAAACTCTGCCTGGATGTGCACGGCTGCTGAGCCCTCTGCAGAGCAGCGCCAGGCTTTGTTGGGCCTCTCAGTCTCCGAGGCAAATATCAGATAAAAAAAAAGGCCACAAGAGTGATCGATTAAACACTGATCAACTTGTGTTTTAGGGTTTGCAAGCACGTGTGTGCTGCAGGACCTAGATTTGCACATTACCGGAAAGGTCGGTGCACTTTTATCGCCCGCTGCTAAAAGCAGGAAGCAGTTGTGTTTTTGCTCATATCTGTGTTCATTTGTCTGTGCCAGTTAGAGAACCACTTTTTATAAAGTCATCTTTGTTTATACACTGCCTGGCCCAAAAAAAGAAAAGTCGCCACCTGGATTTAACTAAGCAAATAAGTACGAGCCTCCTGTTGAATAATTACTGCACGAGCCAAAGAATGAGGTCAGCTGACCTGAATATACTGAACATCCAGGTTATTCCATCAATGATTGTTTCTTCCCTGATGGCACGGACATATTCCAAGATGACAAAGCCAGGATTCATGGGGCTCTTATTGTGAAAGAGTGGTTCAGGGAGCATGAGACATCTTTTTCACAGAGTCCACTGAGAGTCTTTGGGATGTGCTGGAGAAGATTCGACCATCAACATTGAAGAAGCTTAGCCAACCAATGGAAAGTGAATGTGTGCCGTAATCCAAGTTAAAGAGGGTCCAACCAAACATTAGAGTGTGACCTTTTTCTTTACTTTGGTCAGGCAGTGTGCATTTACAACTGATAACACAGGAGGTCACCTCCACTCAACATGGCCACCACAGCTAATCCACATTAGTAAACACAAAAAATGAATTTAATTCAGTCAGTTTCAATCAGTGTGGTCGTAACTGGAAGTGATCACATACATTAAAATCCCATAACATCGCACGAGATTAAAGTTTGGACCATAACTTTCACAGCATGAGATAATTTGGGCTCAAATCTCGGACATGCAAGGCGTAGGGCGACGTGCGTTCCTTCGAGGAAGGCTGGGAAGGAGCAGAACTGCTAACCATCAGGACTGTAATCAGTAGCTGCGTTTCCATTGACCATGAAAATGCGCAAATTAGAATTTCGAAAATAAATTTGCTCAATGGAAGCACATCAATTTCGAAAAAATTACATTTTTCGACAAAATGTTTTTGCGCTAGGATGAGGTGGTATTTCGGCCGTATCGAAATTGGTGTTTTTCGCAAAACTGCAATGGAAACACTTTTTTCGCATCACGGGAGTCACGTGATCAACAACCGGCTGTTTCTACTGGTAAAAAAGACGATGAAGAAGACAACAGGAAGTAGAAGTAGTTGTAATATCACAGAAGTAGTCAAATAAAGTATTAAACTCACCGACTATAATTTCCCAAAAACACAGCATACGTAGCCGCTCCCAAGTAGGGACTTGTCTCTGGAAAGCCTCGATAAAAGACGCCGACGTCTCCTCTGATGATGAGCGCTAGTGTAGCGTAGCAACATGCTATGTGTTTACATCCATCGCCGCCATGTTTGTAATGACTTATCGCGAGAACAAACGTATTCATGCGTTTCTTACTTAATGGAAACACCACAGCTGCGAAACTGTGTTTTTCGACATTAACAGAATATCGACAAAATTTTGCGCACATTTGCAGTGGAAACTCAGCTAGTGTCATTAAAAAAAACCACACAGTGCTTTGTCTCCTGTCGCCCAGCTAAAGTAAGAAGTGCAGAAAAAACTGTTCACCTGTTTCAGACCAGTTCCCCGCCCTCTAACGACAAGAGGCCTTGTGCAGTCCTTAGACACCATTCAGCCTACCTCAGGCCTCCAAACACTCAGATAGCAAAAAGAGGCCTCAGCGGGGGCAGACTGCAGGACTGTGTCACCCACCTCTGTGTGTCGACAACCACATGGGGGCAGACATGGAGACAACCAGAGAGGCGTGTCTGTGAGAGCAGAGACAGGGCTTCTCCTCTGAGGTGACCCCACAGGGAACGACGTTACACACTCAAACCAAAACGACAGACAAGGCAGCGCACTGGTTCACAGGATGGGACAGGAAAAAGAAAAACACTTGGTTGACGTTCAGTCTGAGCAGTTTTCACATTAGGGAGATATAATGCAGAACCTTATCATCATGCTTTCAAATATCTAATGATCACATAGCCTGTACATGTTTTCTTTAATAGTCTGTACACGAGATACAATGCCACGGTTGGCACGTACACAATATTGCACACCGATACAGAAAAAAAAAACCCTGTCCTATATCAAGTCAGCGGCTCCGTCTCGTGCTGGGAGGACGAAACCTGACTCGATTTGGACATGTGGAAAATAATAATAATAATAATAATAATAATAATAATAATAATAAAGAGCATCTGAATGACAAAAATGCAAAAAGTGACGTTTTATGAGCAACAAGCCCCGCCCCCTCCCCAAAGGAGCCACCAAGTGGCTGTAGCACCATGATAAGATTGATACTGCCTGGCTCCTCCACTGATTGGCCTTCCAGACTCTGCCTGTTAGTTTCAACAGCTCCGATCAATGACCTCTCCTCAAAGTTTGTTTTTTTATTTTTTGTCACGATGCATAAAATGTGCAAATCCACCTGTTAACATCTGCAGTGAGCGCGGCCACACGCAGCACATCCTGGGCCTTTCTCAGCCTCCCCAGACACATCACAGCTCTGCTGAGAGACCACAGAGACCACCCACCCAACCTCGCCCCTCATCTGTCTCCCCCCCACCACCAACGTTTTAGGTCCTCCAGCTCCCTGCAGACCTTCGCCATGTGTGCTCTGAGCACCGCGAGGAGGAGTGGGGGGGCCGAGCCTCTCCGCCTACGTTGACAACACTCTCGAATGTAAAAACATCCAGCCGGCCGGCCGAGGTCACGGACCACCCATGTGAGAACACGTAAAGACTGGAGTATATAAGGCACGGGTCGTCATGACGTCAGAGAGGACGCGTCGCCTCGCCGCGTCTCCTGTTCGTTTTTTCGCGCCTCTCACATGTGGGCCTTCTCCTTTTCTAATCCCATCCCATCTCCCCAAGAGGGAAAAACAAAAACAACACAAAAACAAACAAAAACAATCTAATCTTAACCCACAGAAAACGTGGGGATCTTATTAAGGATCTTTTTTTTTACAGCTGATTCACAAAATCATAATTAGTACATCTAAGTTAGCACTTTTTTTTGTTTGTTTTTCATTTACATGGACGTGGTGCAAGAGGACTGGTACTCAGTACAGCTAATTGATCCCGTTCATTTGAGACAGACATAATTTCGTTGTGTCCCGACCTCTTCAGATATGCATAATAGAAACGCCGTCGTTATTTGAAGTCCAATCGAAAGCTTGAATCTACTCTGCCAACTTGTTCTCAAAGCCTCCACACATGCAGACAAGTGTTTGCAGGCCTCTAATAAGAGCTGCAGCTTCCTTCAGGTTTATTCTGCTTGGTACCTTTTATAGTAAACTTCAGATTTTGGTTTCATATATAATCCATTAAACATTAATATTCTCTTTGTGCTGATGTGGAATATTCATTCAATGCGATTGTTGTGTATAACAGATTAGACTTTGAGTAAATCTTAGCATTTCATCAGGTTTGAAAACATTTCGAAATAGCTTTGACATGTGCAAAATCTGTCATGGATAGAGATATAAACACTCTGTTCATTGTCGTTTTAAATCAAGTGTATATATATAT